CATTTACCACACTACGGCGCTTTTTTTTTTTTCTTCTTTTAACCATCATCTCATAATCATCGTCATCATCTTCTTTTTCTCCTTCTTCTTCTTCTCCTTCAGATTCCGTTCACTTTTTCTTTTCATCACCATCATCATCATCATCATTTTTCTTCCCTTTATATACACAAGCAACAAATTTTGTTATGTATATAATACTTACAATGATATATACAAAGCACACACAGACACAGACACACACAGACACACAAACAAACAAACAAACAAACAGAGGTCTGAAGAACACATAGCGACAAACGACAATACGAAACATCATCACTGTTCTTTACAGACAGCACACATACACACACACACACACAAATCACATCACAAATATCATTCAAAATAAAAAGAAAGAACCATCCACTAAGGCATTCACAACTACAGCAACAGCAACAGCAGCAGCATGTTCAAAGAAAGATTTAGTCCACGTAACACCACCACCAAAAAAAAATTACCCTTTTTTCTTCTTTCTTTAAAAGCTCAATTTTTTTTTGTCCTCCGTACATAAAACTTCAAACTGTCACTAACCAACAGCAGCAGTAAAGAAAACAGAAACAAAAAAAAAAAAGAAAAAACAATTTCAACTATCAAATTGCCATTTCAAATATCAGAAAAAAAATTTTTTTGTTCTTTTTTTTTTTACTATGACTAAGCAAACGAAACTAGAAAAAAAGCAAAATATTTAGTTTTCGATACATCTCTTAGCATCATCACCAATGCCATTGCCGTTGGTTGCTACTACCATTCCAAATGAATCGATCAATACAGTACACTTCTCAACCGAACGTAAAGTACAATAAATCAGTTAGTTATTGTCCAAACGTAATTTCCACTTCTTCTTCAACTCCAACTAACCCCTAAACTTTACCCCTACAACACACACAGTTTACATTTGCTCTCATTTAGAAAACTTTTTTAAACATCAAAAAGAACAAAAATGAAAAAAAGAACCCCCCACTTTTTCTCCAATTTTTCCTTTCTTTATAATTTTCCCTTCCGCCACCCTTCTTTTCTTCTCTTCAACAGCAGCAACACAGTAAAAAATAACTCAGTTAAACGGGAAATGAAAGCTGAAAATTGAAAATTGAAAAATTTGAATGAAATTGAAAAAAAAAAAACAAAAATACACAAAGATACAAATACCCCTGTTTCAAAGAAAATTCCTTCTCTTTTTTCCTTCGTTTCCACCCCCTCTATCCTCTATCACTACCATCTCCCTCACTCCTTCCTCTCTCTTTTTCCTTTTCCAGAAAAAAACCCTTCTTCTCATTCCATTGCAAATTACTTT